AAAAAAAAAAAAAAAGACCTAAATTATATCATCAATAATCTAAAATATGAAAGGGTAGAATAAAATTATAGTGCCCCTCATGCAGTCAAAGGGGGCATGATAGTGCCCCTCATGCACTCTACCCAGGGGGACAGCTTGAGGCTCTGTCTCAAAAAAAAAAAAAAATACCCTTGGGGCAAGATAGAACTTAATGCTTTCAGGATAAGGTTAGTGAGGTGGAAGCTTAGACAACCAGTATGAACATGATATAACATGAGGCTTGGGAGATAAGTATGTATCAGATGATATAGTGTCTGAGGACATGTTAAGAAGCTTGAATTTCATGTCAAGGGCAATGAGAAAACCTAATATTGGGTTCTAAGTGATCTCTTCTACTGAAAAGAAAATTAAGAATCTCCCAGTATTTCACTTGACTGTTATCTAGGACACTGACTTCCCTTAGACCTTGAGTAGAAGGCTCTTAGGCTGAGCCTCAAAACTGGAATGGAGATGAAATCTATCTTCAGTACTTCTAGTACCATTCATATCTCCCCAGAACCTATATCTTCAAGTCAGCAGTACCAATCTAGACATCAAGGAAGGTAAACCTATAAAAGCTCACCTGTGCTAGTGGTGAAATAATCCACAGTGCTTCTTGCTTCATCAGATGTTATCTGTCTGCTCCACATTTTAATCTAATTGTGCCTTTGGACATGTTTGGTATGGACATCCAGCTCTGATAATATGGCCTTCTGAGGACTGTTTTCACTCATCTGGACATGTTTTTTTCCTAGTTTCTTTTCTGAGAGACTCTAGTGCTAGAATCTATGTATTATCCCCTAACAGGATCAGTGTAATTTAGTAAAATGTAGATGCCCTAAACAATTTGGAACATGTACTCACACACTTTAGCCACCATCAAAAATGGGGTCACCTCCATTCTTTATTCCAGAGAAAACGTTCTGCTATCTTGGGTATCCTAACCTCATGATTTAATATTTTCCTACCCATTGAGGACTCAACTATCAATATCCAAAGGTTGTATACTCCTTCCAGGCCTTGAGGAGAAGGGCCACCCAGAATAACCTGAAAAAGCATCATTTTCTCACTCTAATTCTTCTCCTCCTTGCTTATGTCCCAGGAAACTTGTGGATCCAGAGCCGCAATATCTCAGTGAGTGCCGGGATAGAAATGACAAGCTATATGTGGTGACACAGACTATTGAAGTGGTCAAAGATACCGTGCTGTACAACAGCAATAATATGAATTTTTTGGGAAATTATTTCCTTGGAATTACTTCTGGCAAGGTACAAAGTGATTTTGAACTGGGATTGGAATACAAACCAAATACCCTGTTCTGGCAGCCCAGCCTGACTGCACAGGGGTTGCTGGAGCCTCATTTTGGGGGACCTGGAGGGATAGAGTCATTATTTCCCATTTCTCTCTTGCCAAGGTACTCTGGCTCCTGAATGTATGTTCTAATATCCTCCATTATAGTGTTTTAACATACAGGTTCATTCAGTATTGAAAGAATTAGAAATATATTTAATTGTTTAGTATTACATTTTCCTTTGTGTAAATGATAGGTCCTGCAGTAAATAAATGTGTGGGTACTGTATTGTCTACAGTCCAGTTTTATGGTGGAAGAAATGAGGGACCACTAATACCAAACTGAGACAGCTAAAATATTTTAAATTTCATGATAAGTTAATAATAAAAGTTTTAAGGAGTAGGATTTAAATATCCTCAAGACCTTATGATTAACATGAGTTACTCACAATAGCCAAATATAATATTTTAATTAATTAATTTATTTAGTTGGCTCGGCACCTGTGGCTCAAGCTGCTATGGCGCCAGCCATGTACACCCAAGGTGGCGGGTTCGAATCCAGCCCAGGCCCGCCAAACAACAATGATGGCTGCAACCAAAAAATAGCCGGGTGTTGTGGCGGGTGCCTGTGGTCCCAGCTACTCGGGAGGCTGAGGCAGGAGACTTGCTTGAGCCCAGGAGTTGGAGGTTCCTGTGAGCTGTGATGTCACGGCACTCTACCCAGGGGGATAGCTTGAGGCTCCTGTCTCAAAAAAAAAATTAATTAATTTAGTTAGTTATTTTTGATACAGAGTCTCACTATGGTAGAGTGCTATGCTGTCATAGATCACAGCAACCTCAGACTCTTGGGCTTAAGTGATTCTCTTACCCTAGCCTCCTAAGTAGCTGGGATGGCAGGTGCCTACCACAATGCCCAGCTATTTTTTTGTTGTTGTTGTCATTGTTTGTTTAGCAGGCTTGGGTGGGGTTCGAACCCGCCAGCCCTGATGCACATGGCTGGTGCCCTCACCACTGAACTATGGTGCCAAGACAAGTATAATATTTTTAATATAAGAAATTAATTTATCAAATACTTATTCAGGCTTGGCACCTGTGGCTCAAGTGGCTAAGGAACCAGCCACATACACCTGAGCTGGCAGGTTCAAATCCAGCCTGGGTCTGCCAAATAACAATGATGGCTGCAACCAAAAAATAACCAGGTGTTATGGTGGGTGTCTGTAATCCCAGCTACTTGGGAGGTGGAGGCAGGAGAATCGCTTGAGCCCAGGAGTTGGAGGTTGCTGTGAGCTGTGATGCCACAGCACTCTACTCAGGGTGACAGCTTGAGGCTCTGTCTCAAAAAAAAAAAATATATATATATATATATATATTTATTCAAATCAAGTATGAATCAGGAACATATATATGTTATAATTGACTTTTATATGCTCTGCATTTTCTGTGTCATTTGTCCTCACTTAAAAGCTTCAGAAACTAATGAAAAAGACCTGAGATATGAAGTAACTTTCTCGAAGTAGACAAATGGCAATAGACCCTGGAAAGCAGGAATAGTAGATCTCCCATCTCCCTACCCCCACCTTAGCAGGGAAGAAAGTCTAGAAACGAGAACCTCCAAAAAGTTCAGGAATTGAAGGCACCAGCTACCTCTGAAGATGGGTGCAGGTGGGGCTGAGAGTGAGAACATTGGTTGGAAATCTTTGTAAAGAACACATAAATTCTCAGATTCCTTCCCCTCCTGTGCACAGCCAGACACCTGCCCACACCTATTCTGGCAGAAGACCTTCCATAAAACCTATATGATGTAGGTTTTGGGTATAAGAAGACTGTTTATAGCATATGAGGCGTGCAAGAGGCCATACTGGAAAATATAAATAAGTGAAAGTCCTCATATTAAGTGGGGAAACATATAAGTGAGCTCCTTTCAGCATTCAGCTCCAGGCCCACTTTCCACCCATCAACACACACACCCCAGGCAGAAGACTAAATGTTTCTTATCCAGGAATCTTGGATAAAAATCTTGACAATTGGAGACCCCCAACATGTAGCTTACCCCCTGTCTGACTGCCCCACAGTGAAGCCTCCACTCTGTGAACTCTGCTAATGTACACTACCAGCTCTCAGACCTCATTCGTCAACAAAAACATACACAAAAAAATGGAAGCATTTGAGGAAAGCCTAAAATAAAAAACAAAACCACATCTGAGACCCAAAGAATATATGTCCAGAATGAAAGGGCAAACTAAAGATATGATTTAATGTGTCAACATAGATCCACACCACAAAACATAAGTGTGAATTTTCTAGACAATTCCCTCAAAAAGAAAATCATAAATGTTTCAAAAAAAGGGAAAGAAGTCATATTTCAAGGGATTCCAACCTAGAATTCTATGTCCCGTCAAAATGTCAATCATGAGTGGTGAAACAATGATGACTTTAGATATACAAGGTCTCAGTAGACGTGCCCCTATCTCCTCCGGAGAGCATGAGGAAAAGGTCCAGAGAAGACACAGAGAAAGAAGCACATTAGTCGATCTACTGGGGAAGGTCGGGAGTGAGGAGGGGGGCTTTCCCCAAGGGTGAGCAGCTAATGTTAATTCAGATGTTGAGGAATGAATTTTTTAGGAAGATAGGAGAAAGAAATTGAGGGAAGGATAAAGAAAAGGAAAATGGAATCCTCATCATCAAAATGAGAAAATAAATAGATACACTTAAATCTGGAAAGAAATAAAAACATTGCCATGTAAACATGAGAAAATAGGAAGATGAACACTGGATAAAAGAGGGAAAAAAGAGCAATAACTGGAAATGAGAAATTAAGGGTAGGGAGGGCGAGAGCAGGGGACTGCTGGTGTCTTCCTCAGGAGCTCTCTAGATAAACCTGACTCTTATAATTTCATGCATCTAAGGGTGGGTGGCTCATACTTGCTATCCTAGCACTCTGGAAAGCCCATGTGGGAGGACCACTTGAGGCTAGGAGTTTGAGACCATCCTGAGTAAAAGCAAGACCCCATCTCTACAAAAAATAAAAAATTAGCTGGGTGTGGTATTTTGCATGTGTAGTCCCAGCTGCTTGGGAGGCTGAGGCAGGAGGATCACTTGAGCTAGTCGTTTGAGGCTTCAGTGTGCTGTGGTGACACTGCACTCCAGCATGGATGATAAAAGGAGACTGTCTCAAAAAAGAAAATTACATGCATTCAATATTGTATTGTCTGGTTTCTCTCCCCAGAGTCAAGGTGAAGGACAGTATCTCAAAAAGAGTGTGAAGAAGCTGAGTCTACAGACAGGCATGGTGATGGCCTACAAGATGAAGCAGCTAATTATTAAGAAAAAAGGTGGGAGTAGGGGTTCAAAGAAGCAGATGGGGTGGGGGTGGTGTCTGCTTCTCTTGGGAAGAGAAAGACCATAAATATGAAACCATTTGCTGCTCTGCCTTCCAAGGAGGAGAAAGAGAAGTAACATTTCTCACTATTTAGAACACTTACTCATCCCACCAGCCACACTACCTTCAAGAATAGGCTGGCTGGTATCACCTTTGCAACAAAAAAATAGCTGGGCATTGTGGCAGGTGCCTGTAGTCCCAGCTACTTGGGAGGATAAGGCAAGAGAATCATTTAAGCCTAAGAGTTTGGCTCAGCGCCTATAGCTCAACTGGCTAAGGCGCCAGCCATGTACACCTAAGGTGG